TGTGAAACCAATTCTAGAAATAATTGAGGGAGGAACTTGATTGGTGTCAAGCACCTCTGCTCTTTCCCAAATACATATACTTCTTGTCACCCAAAATGTGGTCCCTGGACAAGCAGCATCACATCACCTGAGAACTTACTAGAAATGCAGAATTTCAGGCCACATTTTGATCATGAGAATCTAAAATTTAGCAAGATCCCCAGGTGACAGAATGCATGGACAGTTTGAGAATTCACTACAGGTACACACACACCTGCATGAACACAGATATAAGTAGTTCTGAAAGCTTGCTGCCCGAGGTATGCCTAATCCACTGCAGTCTGGGTGTAAGAAATAGGCTGCTGAGGACCCACATGTCCCATACCTCCTTGCAGATTTCATCTATCAGCCACATTAAATGCTAAGACACCAGGTAGTTCCCTAATATTAGTGTTGTGCCCTGACCCACAGGTCACCAGTACTTTGAAGGAGAACAACGACAGAGTGTACAATGGATGAGCTTTCTGATAGTGGAGGGAGGGGGTTCAGCAGTAAGACTGAGGGCTCTCTGCCTATCCGTGAAGCTCCCCATCTCATTGCTTTCTCTTTACTTTTTCTCTGGGTAAACAGAGAATTTTGGTCTCTTAGGCTGTCAATCCAACTCTTTCAGCAAGCATCAAATAGAACAGACAAACAAACAAACAAACAAGGTAGAAAGGAGAGGGCAGAAATGAAGTGGAAAATAGTCCAAGAAAATATCAGACAAAGTAAACTGAGTGGCATATATGCTGCTATAAAGGGAAAGAACACTAGAGGGGAAATGGATTTTGCAGATCTAGAATGTGGACCTTAACTGACAAAAGCAACCTGATGTTTTCCAGCTGTTGATTCTAAGATTTAACCCTTCCTGGTTAGATAGCTATTTAAATGGAAGGGTTTTTTTTTTCGTGTTAATGTAAATCACGTAACATTTTATAACATTCTGATATTCAGATACATTTTATATCAAGTGCCATAGAAGGTGGAGGCTCTAAAATTGTGTACCAATGGAATTGTGACTTTTGAGAGCACATTATATAATACTAAATTAATTTTCATCAATAGTTGTCACTTCATTATCAGGAGAAATAGATTGTATCCATGACCTTATTGATGTCACTTCCAACCCTGCCCCTTTCTCAGGTTTCTTTATCTACTTTAACTTCTCTCCTCGGCTCCTGTCCCTTCAACTCTTCACCTGCTGTCATTGTAGCCAGCCCTTGAATATAGATTGAAGAGTTAGCATGATGTCACAGCTCACTGTTTGAATAGCACTTTTCTCAGTAAAGTTTAAAAATACTCAATCTTTTATAATGACAGACCAAGATTTTGTTTTAGGAGATTCCTGAGTTTTAAATAATTATGGGTAAATTGCTATCTAAGTGTCCTTCAATACAAAACTTCTATAATTTCCATGGTTTTTAAGTTGATTCTTTCTTTAGAACTCTAGTTCTTCACTCGTGAAAAGGAGTAAATGCATTTTTATTTTATACTTTTTTCCTTTTCATTGAATTTATTGGAGTGACAGTGGTTAACAAAATTATACAGGTTTCATATATACTGTATTGTGTGTTCACTATCTCAAGTTAAGCCTCCATCCATCACCATTTATCTCCCCCACGTACCCTCTTCCACCTTCCTCCACTTCTTACACAACCACTCCCTTAAGCATTTTGAGAATGAAGTTCTGACCCGCATCAGATAATCTTAGAAACAAGGCCTTGACCACAGAGACACAGTTTTGGTAAAACTAGAGGTAACATTTAGGCTTTAGTTGTGTTTCAGCTCCAGGTGGGGCAACACCATGGCTGACATCAGGACCAGCTGCATGACTAAAGAACTCCTGTCCTGGCCTCGACCTATCAGTGGAGACCTTGACTCTGAAAGGACACACCTGGGAACTGATGGATATTCTGTTGATATCCTCCCCTGGGACTGCCCCTAAGATCCCTGCCTTCAGAGAGGGGGTAAAAACCCTCAGGGCAGAGGACCCAGCAAGCTCTTTCTCTCTGAGAACACTGTGCCTTTCCCCTCTCCTCCTCCAGGTGCTTTCCTTGGCTTGCTTTCTCCTAAGCTCCAAGGGCTCTTCTTTATTTTCTGTAACTTGTTTCCTAAGCCAGGCAGCCCAGCTGGCTCACTTCTTCCACGGCTCACTGCGTTACCTCTTTGACTTTTTAAATAAACTTTTGCTTGTGTACTTGAGTCTTGGCTCTGAACTCTTTCTTAGCCAGAACTCAAGTACTGAGGTTGCTAAACTGAGGTCCGGTCTCACTCCACCTGTGCCATTTTGCCACTAACAAAGCCACTGTCAGAACAATCATAGAGTGTAATGAGGATGGGAAAATGACACAATTATCTCTTCCTGTGTCATTGATTGTGAGGAGAATTGGGAAAGGCTTTAAATGAAGCCTATCCTTTGGGGAATTTAGACTTGGACTCTAGCAATAGTGCCACCATACGGGAGTAGCAATTCAAAAGAATTCAGTAGAAGTTTACAGAACTTTTTCTCACCAGGTATAGGTTTGTGGATGTTTAACAAATTAAAATTTATTTGAAGTCAATGCCTTTTATGTTTCATTTACATGAAAGATGTTTTTCAAGATGAAATAAGCAATGCACATTTTTAAGGTGATTTTTATTTAAAGGTCTTTCTTCCAATTAAGCTTTCCTTAATGGCTGGCTGGATTGGTTGTAATCTGTGACTGTGATATGTTGCTTGGGAGGTGACAAGAAAAAGACCTATTTCCCTGGGAGTTATTGGTCGCATCATTAGAACACAAATATGTGGTCAAGTTAATAATCGGAGGCTGCTTTTACCATCTCACCACTAGGTGAAAGTGCTATGTTGAGGAGTAGCTTTTCCATCCTGGGTCCACATGGAACAGAGCCTCCTCCTCAGCTGTCTTTGATCTGACTTCTGCTGCCTACTGGTGGGGTCTGTTTATTGCAGGAGCTCAGATGGTACACAAAGGCAGGCACAGAGTTCTGGGCTGATTGCCACCTGCCTGAGTTTCATCTCATTCGCTCCATGCTCCAATCTAACACCCTCACTACTCTAAAAGATGCTGCAAGTGTCTTTGGGAACATCACCTTCTTCCTCCTATATATCTGTAATTACACTTGTGAGCACTCAGGTGTAAACTATACTCGTCAGAGACTCTTTCCCAAGGTGAGGGCCCTGATCTTCCCAGACGGGGAGGGCTTTCCTATAAACTGTGCACTGAAGCATCCTTTGGAATTGCTTCTGGTGGCATTTATGGAGATGATGTGGCCCCACGGTTGCCCCCCTATGGTCTGTAGTTCCACGGTGCCCGGGAAGCTGGGATTTTCAGAAAATCCTTCACTCTGTTGCTTTCGAATGTTTTAATACAGTTTCCATTTTGCAGGCCTGCTGCCCGGTCCCCTGAACTGTCAGGGTAAATAATGCTCTGTACCTGCAATGCTCCTTAGACCTTTCCACGCACCCTCACACTTGCTGCCTCACGAGGCAGCAGGGCTCCTGCTTTAGATCTCATTTCAGATGAACACAGTGAAGACCAGAGATTATTTTTTGAGTTCATACTGAACAAGGAGAAACCATGTCTCTGAATTCTAGTATCCTGCTACTGAGGTCGCTGCCTGCACTTTGAAATCCCCTGCCTGGGATAGGAATTCTCACCCACACCAGTTCCCTAAGGGATCTAAGTTTCTTTTCCTCATTTGTAAAATGCACTAATGACAGTCCTATCTCATGGCTTATTGTGACACTCCGTAGCACAGTGTGTTTCACAGAGGTGGCATTTGGTGGATGTTTGCCATAATTTCACCGAGGACCTGACCCTGCTGGGGGCTGGGCTGGCTGCCCATTGCTGTGCTTTGTCCAGACTTTGAATCTCTATTTGATTGCAGCATTACCTGTGGCTTCATATCACAGTCACTCCATGTCTGCTCAAGCTTTTGAAATGAGTCCTTCCTACCACTGCATGCTGCCGCCCTATTAGAGAAGAAGGCTGGAAAAGGAGCATGGTGGAGGAAAAGGCCCTTTTCACATGCTTCCAGGTAACTGAATGGATTTAAAGTTTTCAAAGAGATCAGCTTTTAGTGGAACCCGGGTCACCTCCTCAACATGATTTCAGTTCCCTGTGGCAGACTGCTGAGTCATAGCCCTGCTTACTTCTCCTTGGTGGTTTTCCTGGGCACCAAGGTCAGGCTGAGAAGAGAGGCCAGAGCTATGCTCTTGCTGCCTTTCTGGGAGCTCCTACCCTCCTCTGGAACCTGGGAGATAGGGATCTACCTCCTGTGATAATTGCATTTCAAAGAATAGCCCTTTGAGAAAGACATTGCTGGGACTTCAAGCAGAAAAGAAGTCCTCCAATTTTATTGTATTTATTCTCTCTCTCTCTCTCTCTCTCTCTCTCTCTCTCTCTCTCTCTCTCACACACACACACACACACACACACACACACACACACACACACACACACATAGGAAGGGTTAAGTACTGGTTGGTGAAACTTTAATTTCAATTATGTGTGTATACAATGAAATTGTTCCTGTGAAGGTGTTCATTTGCAAGCCCCAGTGGCTCTGATCACCACCTTTTCATTGTACAGGTGGAGAAACTGAGGTCCAGAGGGCGTGAGGGGTGGCCTGGGTCACAGAACTAATTATCAGCAAAGCCCAGCATAGAACCACAGACACGTTTTGTTTCCCCACATAGGTGCATCCTTCCTTCTCTGTCCTTTTTGATCTCCGTGTAATTCAGCTCGAGGAGCTCAAAATCTCAGCTCCCGTCAATGTTGGCTTAATAGGTCTTCGCTTTCAGAACAGAAATGAGTCCTGTTTGTTTTGAAAGGAAAGCTAAACCTAACAGGCAACTGGATGTTGGATAAAGGTCTTGTGGGATTAGGGCAAAAACAAGGAGCTTGTTTGCGAAGCTTCTTGGGGGAGCTGGGAATTGAGAAATCCAGGTGGTCCTAAGAAACAGCTGAAAGTCTCCTGCTCTACTGGGCTCTGCGTGCAGAAAACAAAACATGCCTGAGGAACTGCACAACACTGGCTAACCTTTGCTGGAGACCCCTAGCTTTTGCAAAGGGCATGCTAACCACCGCGCTGATTGCAAAGCCCACCATAATTGGAGAAGGGAGGGAGGCGGCCATGACCCAGCTCTCTGTAGGAGGGTTGGCAGGAGGCATTGTAGATTTGATTTCCCTAGTGTGGCACGAAAGCCTAGGGGCATGCCACTCAGCTGCTCTGTGTCTTAGATTCTCATCTGGAAAACAGAGATAAAAATCCTTCATAATCTTGCCAAGCTGGATGTAGGGTGTAGCTAGGTACGATATGAAGATGAGCAAGGGCTTTGTATTTTTATAACTGTTAAAATAAGAAAAAGAGGAAGAAAGCATGACAAAAGGACAGAAAGCCAAAAGTTATTTTTTAAAATTAAAATCAGACCTAAGCATCTGCATTCTGTGGCCTATGTTATTGTCTCAAATTATAAAAACCACCTTGCACCCATAAATGAAATTTTTATTTTTATGAAGAAAAAACTTCTCCCAAATGAAAGAACTCCCAGTAGCCAAAGCTGGAACAACGTGAACAGAAAAATAAAGAAGTTTTGATTGTAACTCAAAGCATAAAATAAATGTCCTTGAGTTTGTGCAGATATAAATAAATAACTGTATTAATATATAAATGGGATAGAAGAGACAAATCTGTTCAGAATTCTAAATAATTTATGTAGATATGTGCCCTCAAGGATGTTGAATATGACTACCCTCTCTTATGTGTGGGCTACTCTTAGAGACATCCTACCAAAGTGTATAATATGGAGAGGGAAGGGGAATAATAACTTTATGGTGGAAAAAAATCTAACAATCACTACTTCAGCCCTGTGGTCAAGATCAACATCAATAGTGATATGTCCTGTTGATAATATACAATTGATATCATACAATGAGAATAACACTTTATCTCTTGGTATTCCTTTCACTACCCATGAACGCAGTGTAGCTATGAGGGAAACATCAGCCAAACACAAGGCGAGACACATTCTAGGAAATAACTAACCAATAATAGTCCCTAGCATTGTCAAGGTCACCAAAAAAGAAGGAAAGTCTGAAACTCTTCACAGCCAAGAGGAGCACAAGGCGATGAGACTAGTAAAAGTGATGTGGTGTTTTGGATGAGTTGCTGGAACTGAAAAGGGCCATTAGGTGAAAATTAAGAAAATCTAAAAAAAAACCTTGAAATTTAGTTAACTGTAATTAGTATTGGTTCCTTAATTGTGACAAATGCTCCATACTAATGTTAAGTATTGATAATGGGGGAACCTTTGAGAGGCATATGAGAACTCTCTATATTAGTTTTATACCTTTTCTTAACTATTCTGAAATATAAAGTGTTTTAAAAAACTAATCTAAAATGTACATTAATTTCACAAAATAAATGAACAAAGAATTGAAACAGACTTGGAGATATAGAGAGAAAACCGGTGGTTGCCAGAGGGGTAAGGATTGGGGGACTGGGTGAAAGAAGAGAAGGGACTGAAAAGAACAAAATGGTAGTTACAAAGAGTCATGGGGAAGTAAGTACAACACAGGAAATAGAGTCAATAAGGTTGTGATAACCACCAGTATGTATGGTGCCAGTTGGGGTACTGGAAATATCAAAGGGAACACTATATAAAATATATGATTGTTGAATCATTAAGCTATATACCAGAAACCAATGCATAATAAATAAAATGAAAATAAAAGTTATGTTAACTTCAGATCAGTCTTAACAAATATATATGTCTTGTTTATCAAGTGACAGGTACCTAGTCTCTGCCATCAAAAATTTAAAAATAGCCCTGACTGGTTTGGCTCAGTGGATAGAGCGTCGGCCTGCGGACTGAAAGGTCCTGTGTTCGATTCCGGGCAAGGGCATGCACCTTGGTTGCGGGCGCATCCCCAGTAGGGGGTGTGCAGGAGGCAGCTAATCGATGTTTCTCTCTCATCGATGTTTCTAACTCTCTATCCCTCTTCTTTCCTCTCTGTAAAAAAACATAAAATATATATTTTTAAAAAATTTAAAAATATTGAAGGGGATACTGGGATGTGGAGAGATCACAATGGCATAAATGCTACAAATTGTAAATGCTGAAATCATGGAGAGAGACTCATGGAATGGATTACATTTGACTAGTGTTTGGAAGTTCCTCCCACAATTTCTCTACAGCAAGTAGGTGAGTGGTGGTGCTGTGAAAAGCAGTTTGTTTGGTGATGCATTTAGCTGTGAACATGTTGAGTGGGAAGTGCTTGGGGATATTCACATTTAGATATCTATCAGGAAGTCCAGTTATGGGTCTGCCCACAAGTATGGATTTGGGCATCACCAATCTATAAATGGTACTTGAAGCACCAGATGACATAGAAAGCATGTGACATTTCTTTTGTTAAGAGAATAAAAATTTTAATCAGTGAATTATAATGGAGCCTAGACAAAGATTTACAGTCTCAGCTGTGCCCATTACTAACTGAAACTGAAGCAAATTGTGTCGGCTTTTTGAGCCTCAATTTCCTAATCTAGAAAATGTAATACCTCTGGTTCTCTCTATCTTTCAGGTTGGATGGAGAGGGGCAAAATCAATGGAAGTCAAAGGGATCCTTTGTAATTTGTAAAGAACTGCAGAGATGTAAGACAGCCACTACTTAGTGCTGCTGACAAATTTGCTTCAAGATTGATATCTCTAAGACCTTGGTTTTCCAAAGGCTCACCTTTAACTGGATGTCATTGTTTGTTTTGCAAATCCAGTGCTAAATACAGTATCATGATAATTTGCACTCTAGGCCAATCTTTGCAAATCATGACTCTTGGCTTATGACCAACTTTCTTTTCTAAATTGTTGACATGATCACATTTCCTGTCATGTATTAATAGCAACTCAAGGGAAACTTTGAAGCCACTTTGAAAAGTTTCCAGTGTAGTTCTGTGTTTTATGACACATAGGTATTCTGTTTGTAAAACTTTCTAATGAGCCCATTGCCAGAAGTTCTTGCCTGTTTTATTAGTGTGACATGGAAGAACATAATAAAAATTGATGGAGAAACCAATGCAATTCTTACTGCGCGGTCATGTCATTTTATCAAAATGTGCACTGACAATCCAGCTAAGCCAAAGAATGTGTTCATCTTGGGCAAAAACAAGGAAATGGAGAGGCATGAATCAGCCAGGGATTTGATTCTTGGCTTTCACAGCATGATTTGCCAGACAGAGCTTTCTTCTCAGTTAACATAAGCGCATACTCTCCAGGTGTGAGCCTGTCGGTCTTCTGGCCATGGATTTTCCCTGCTATTAACCTTTTCAGTTTCCGGCATCGGAATTAAGTGCTCCTCTCTGAGATTTCCTTATGAAGCTGTGCTGTCTTTGACCTTTTCATACTAAATAGTCTCTTCCTTTTGCCTTAAGCCCATGCGCTGCCTAGCCACCCAGCAAGTTCCAACAAAGGTCATGGAGAAAACAGAGGGTATGGCTGTAATGAAAAGTGATCCTTTTCTCCTCCTTTGGAGCACACAGACAACATTCTCTCTCAATTGATAATCACCTGCTGACTGGTTAGCCTTTAGAATGACTTTGGCAGCATCAAGTTCTTTTTAAAGCAAATTTAGAGCAGCCCCAATATGGGAGTGATAATCTGCCTTTTGGAAATTGTGTTTGATGTGTATTTTCTAAAAAAAAAAAATCTAAATAAGAGGAGAATGAGAGTATACTAAATAAAATCAAGTTAGGAACTAGATCTTTTGTGATAAAACACAGGGGTGTTCAACACAGGAAAATATTGATTGTGACATGTCTTTTGTAGGGAAGAAAGATTTACCAGCTCCATAGTCAGGAGGGAACTGAGGCCTTAAAGAAGCAATTTCACATTCTTGTATTTTCTCACTCTTCACATGACCATCTTTTCCAATTTCAAATAATTTCAAGTGTCAGATAGTCTTAAGTCATTTTTTAGCAGCAAAATGGTCTAAACTCGCGTTTGACCCATACCTACCAATGCTTGTTATACCTTGTGACCTCAAGCATGGGTAGTTATGTCTTTGAGGCTGTCTTCATTAAATGAGTATATTCACTTACATCTCATAAAATTGTTGTGAGCGATCTATGTGAAGCTCCTTTTAAAGCACCCTAGAAATATGTGCATTCTTGTTATATTGTCCTCTCACCTTCAGATATGTCCAAACAATATTTGCAAATGCTCAAAGAAAACATAACTGAAGCCCAGCATAATTGAAGCCAGATCTAAGTCTATTGTGATCTGAATGGTCTGGGGTGTATAAGACTTGCTTTCAATGGAAGATAGTCAGGTTAAATGTTATCATGCTGATTAAAGTAATGGTAACATCAGGGAAGATGAGCACTGCTCAGTAATTTAAAGAAGAGATTCTGAGAACTTGAGAGAACCTAATGCCAGGGAGAGTGTGAATGAATACAGTAGGTCCTCGGGTTACATTGAAGATCTGTTCCTACGATGCAACATAGCGGGATTTTTGCATTAAATCAGAACCCATCTACCTAAGCAATTGCATTAGTCACATGGAGCACATATTCAGCAGTAATGAAGTGAAACAGTAAAAAAAATTAAACAATAACAATTCCTGACTTTTAATTGTGGTAAATACAGTAAATAATAAAAAGCATAAAGCACATATGTACATACTTCGAAATAATGGAACTTTTTTTTTTTAAAAATAAATAAACTAGAGGCCCAATGCACAAAGATTCATGTAAGAATGGGCCTTTCTTCCCCTGGTTGCTGCAACCAACTTCACTCCAGCAGGAGCTGCCTTTCTGCTTTCCCATGCTGCCCAGAGGCCAGGAGTGGCCTGGGTGGGGCAAAATGCCTACATTGTCGCCATGGCGATGACACAAGCATCCTGCTCTGCTCCCCGGCCACTTGGCACTTGTGATTGCAAATTAACCCACCATCTCTGTTGGGTTAATTTGTATACTCACTCCTGATTGGCTGGTGGGTGTTGCCAAGATATGGTCAATTTGCATCTTACTCTTTTATTAGTGTAGATAGGAGATGGTGATGTAACCACAAAATAGCATCATAGCCCAAGGACTGCCTGTATGTGAATGAAGCATCTTGATAAAACAGCCGGAGCTGGAGCTCTTAACCAGTATCACAGTAAGGAAGCTGGCTGAAGAAATCCCCTAAGAATCAACTGGCACCTTTATACTTCCAGTTAGTTGGTTTCAAGTCCTTCCCACCTACCTATTATAAGCTGAATTGTATACCTCTGCCCAAAAGAATATGTAAAGTCCTATTTCCTGAATTTCAAAAAGACTTATTTAGAAAATTAGTCTTTGAAGATTATTAAGTAAAAATAGAATTCTTAGGATAGACTCCAATCATATC